GGACGACGATCAGCGAGCCCGTGAAGTCGCACTTGTCCCCCGCCTGGGCGGACTCCACGGCCTCCGCGCGCAGGACGACCTCCACGCTGCGAGGGATGCTGCCGCGCGGCAGCTCCGCCTGCGTCTCCTGGATGCGCACCTGCCGAGGGGACAGCGGCACCTGCCAGGCTGGCATCACCCAACCCCACGCTGCTCAGCTGCTGATAACCACTGGAAGGAGCTTTTGATTGCTGCCAGCCACGTCAGCCATGAAATTCTGCTCGCAACAGGGCGAACAACCAAAAATCCCTTCGCTAATCAGTATTTAAGGAGCCTTGGAGAAGCTTCAGAGATTACACAGGGACAATGACAACTCTTAGGGCTAGGAAAAGCAACTTGAAAAGTCCAGTTAACATGACTGACAGAAAATATTACTGCAGGATGTGAAGTGCTGAGGATTTGGCGGAGTAAATCCATCTGGAAGAGCAAACCACTGCAGATACTGAAATACACCTCTTCTCATACTCATATAGAATCATAGAATCATTAAGGTTGGAAAAGACCTCTAAGATCATCAAGTCAAACCATCACCCAAGACTACCATGACCATTAAACCATGCCCCCAAGTGCTGCATCTACGTGATTTTTTGAACACCTCCAGGGATGATGACTCCACCACCTTCCTGGGCAGCCTGTCCCAGTGCCTCACCACTCTCAGTAAAGAAATTCCTCTTAACATCCAATCAAAACCTCCCCTGGTGCAACTTGTGCCCATTAAACTACACACAAGGTACATGCAACATGAGACCAACAACGGCTCGAATGTGTGTGCTTTCAGTGGCTTACTTAGGAAACACATTATGCAACAAAACTGCTCTGGTACTATTCCTAATTTCCCATGCTTAAACATAAGCCTTCCATAGGCAGAAAGAAATTATTTGCAGAAATTCCAGTGCCTTTTCTTAAGGTCTTTTCTTGATGCTGACAAAATCAAAATTAACCATCTTCAACTTGTAGCAGTACAAAGAACACCTTTCAACTATCACAGGAACATTACTGATGGCTGTCATCCTCCAACCTCACCACCATACCTTCTGGAAATCAACAAATCTTGACTTGTTTGTGTCCAGCAGGTTTGAATCTCCTTCTGTTGGCACAGACTGGGTTTCTGCAGATGTTTGGCTGCGTGTATTTAAATTGCTGTTCCACATCTTTAATCACGGTCTGGCAGTCGAGGCACAGGAAGGTTCCACTGACAAGCTCGGGGTGGACTGGGTGGGTCCGCACCACCTGGCCACTGATACGCATCAGGGAGCCAATTTTTGCTGATGTCAGCTCTCGTATTCTGTTTAACACAGAAATTTGTAAGAATTAAATTCCTGAATTGAGCAGACAGTTTAGGCCCAGGGTACTACCCCAGAACTAGGACACAACATGGCTACACTGTGACTACAGAACAGTTGTAACAGGCAAAAGAAATAAAGTCACTAGAATATAGTCTCATTTTATGATTTTACATAAACTTTTTGATTATTACTAAATTTTAAATCAATGCAAAAGTTATTTCACTGCTACTTCAAAAGCAACATACTCTAAATATTTATTTATTTTTAATTAAAGAAGTTACATTTGTTAGTGGAATATGATCAACATAAGTATCTGGGTATCATTCACAGATTAAAAACTTTCAAAAAATATCCTTCATGAGATCAGGAAACTTCTTCACAACTGTATTGTCTGAATGTACATTTTACACTCTATAACCAAAACATTTTCAGTATGCTTTGACACTTGTTCCCAGTAGTAAAAATGCTTAAGTTTCTGGAATTGATAATCATCTTACTTGTGTCTGGTGGGTAGATCCTGGAATGCAACGTAAAAGTCCTTGTTTGAAGGAACATTTCCACGGTCTCTGGCAAAAGTTTTTACTGCACGGCAGAGGTAAGGATAAACCCTGAAATATGGAAAGGAAGTTCAAATTTTATGGAAGCTATCAGGGTGCCTTCTTTGCTTTAGACATCAAAGGTTTGTGGCAGTTTGTGTCACACATTTCCAGGTTCTGGCTATTACTGCCACATTATATGTGCACACACCAAAACTAATGTAAATATGCTAAATATATACTGCATTTTACATGCCATTTGCTTTGCTGTCTTAAAACAGACTTTTATAATTCTCTTTGCGATACACTTATCCTTATTTTAGGAAGTAGATCCTCTGAATAAGCCACTCACAATAAAATATTTTCAGAGCAAGAAGTTCTAAGAGTTTATTCTATATTCCCATACCGATCATTTACTTCTTTACCATAAAAAATTTACTTGTCTGGTTAACTAATAGTTTCTAGAGAGAAATCCATTTTAAGTTTTGATCCAATAAGAAAAAAAAAAATTCCTAAATGTGTTTTTGGGATACAGGAAGCAGCTAAACCTCTCGATTTTTACAGAACATGCAAGATGCTATGGGCCTGAGATGGCAGCATTGCCCAGCTCTCAGGTAATCTCTACCTGTAAAATTCCTCCTGAATAGTGGTAGAGAGCTGCTGATTGAACTCCTCCAAGTCCACAAAGCTCACGATCAGCGTGTTCCGCTCTGGCCGAATCAGCTCTTCGGCATCGCGCAAGTACTTGACCTCCCCATCGCTGCTCTGGAACCTGAAAGGGACCCAGGCAGACACTGCAAGGTTACACAGCAGGCGGCAACTGAACGTCTCTCAGTCCCGGGCGGAGAGAAGAGGATCGCGCACAGGCTAAGGAGGGTGCGGGAGGACGACGACATCCCACAGGCCCCTGCCAGCGCCGTCTCCGCCAGTGCCTCCCCTTCCCTCCCCCTCGCTACGTCCGTCCCGCGCGCAGCCGGCGCGGACACGCGGGTTCGTGAACCGATGGCTGAAGAAGGGCTCGGCGGCAGCGAGACGGGGTTTGCTCCGCGTTCCTCAGGGCGGCCATAGCGGTCTCCCCGCTTGCTGCTGACGGGTCTCCCTCGGGAGACAAAGCGCGGGGTGTCGGG